GGTTTCGTCGTTTGTTCATTTGTACTATGAAAACCGTCCGCAGGTCTGTACACAATTCATCTAGATTTCTCTACACGGGTTTTGAATTTTTTTTTTTTTTTTTTTTTTTTTTTTTGTTCGTTTAATTACTTCTTTATTGTCTTCTTGGTCTCGCCATTTTTTAATTGGGAATTATTTTTACCTCACGAATATAGAATTACTGTAGAGATAGTGAATGGGTGATACAATCATATGCCTTGCCATTCTTATTACCCATTCATATTGGTCTGTCGTAATGTAAAATATAGTTAAATTAAATATTTGATTTCTTTAAGTACTTTTTTCCCTTTATACATTTTTTTATGATTCTTTAATGAATTCTATTTTCCATTCATACCGAATTGTTTTAGAATTACTGTTGTCAGAATCTCAAATTAAGTGAAAAGACATGTTACAAACACAGTAAAATTACTGGCTTCAGATCTATGAAATTTTTATTTGTTAGAACTATGCCCATGAAGAATCAGAGTCACCACTTTGTAACTAAAGACCACTTTTCCAATTGGTCTTGGTTAAGTGAAGTTAACATAATAAACAATAGTAAAACTTTCAGCAATATAATGAAAAAATTAAAACGTCCTGTTTTTGTGTTAGATATTTATTATCCTCGTGCATGTTTGGCGTCATTATAATCATTTTTGGTTTTGCGCCAATAATCTTACTCTCCCTCCCTCACTCACTCACTATTATCCTCGTGTTCACAGAAGGAAATTTGATTCGGAAACTATACTAAAAGATTTTCTTGGTTCTATTTATGAAAAATGTTTTAAAACTGAAAATTTTTAACCTCTATAATTCAAACGTTTTATTACCGTATATAAATATTAAATATGCATTAAAATAAATACCTGTACTTGACTTATTTATGACAAGTAGTCAACTAGTCAAAATGAATGGATTATAAATTAGTTCTATCATCTTACGAAAGCTTCAACTAGTCTCTAATGGCTATTCCTATTTAAGGCGTGAGTGTAAGGGAAGGAAACACATTATGGAATCCAAAACAATCATTTCCATATGCTTCTTGTAATGAAAAAACACGATTACATCTCGCTTCCCTCAGTGAAGATGAGAAAATAAGTTTAACAGATTCCCTTTCAGGAAATAATTTCTGATTCTTCCCCACGCCACGTTTTTATTTTTTTCTTATTCTCTAACTTCAATTTTGTAGCTCAGAAGAGAGTCTCGAAACTGCATTTTACATCGAATCACATTTCAGATTGTTGCCCCAAGTATTACCGCCCTGTATTATATTTAAAGAAATTAATTAATGAAGAATCTGCATAAATGAATGTATGTCTCTCGCGTTGTGAAAAAAAAACGGTACCTAGAGCCATCAAATTTAGAATAATGTAGTCCTCCATCCGAACATGGGCACCTGGAAGCCTTAATTTTGAATTTCGAATTTGTTTACCTTGTTTGTTAATTTAACCGAATATGTTAATTTCGAATTACGTATTTCATATAACTTTAACAAATTTTTGATTAAAAAACTCAAAGATTTCAAATTAAGCAGTGGCAACACTGTACAGTATTATTTACTAGTAAGCCTCCGATACTTTAACTCTGAGTTTCTTAAACTGTGGGTCGCGGGGCCTGCAGCAGGGGGTCGCCAAAACGTTTAGCAGTTTTGATATTTCTTTAACTTATTATAATAATTTTAGAACTACCAAATATTTATACACAATGTATCTGAAAATAGATATAGATAGATAGATAAAATAGATAAAGATAATACAGATAATAAATAGATAGAGATAATACAGACGATAAATAGATAGAGAGAACACAGACAAAAAAAAAAAAAAAAAAAAAAAAAAACGTTTCGACGCATTCTTTTTATAATATAAACGTTCATTTTACTTCCTTTGCGCGTGACGCTGTCATTTCGTCTTTTACTTATTTAAAATTTTCATGTTGCTCTATGTCTTAAAATTAGAAATTAAAGTTAACCTACTGCAATAATATATTACAGTACAAGTGAAAAAATTGACGGTTTCACTCACGCGTCTGTCGGATTTGCGTAATGCTTATGGGGCCCCACAAAATTTTAGTAAATATGGATCCAGGGGTCGCGACTAAAAAACGTTTAAGAAGTCCTGCTCTAACGAATTGGATAAGCAAACTCATGAAACTCGCTACTGTTTATTGTATGGGAAAGAGAACGGAAAGAATTAAAAAGTAGAGAATAAATCTAAATTTAATTTTTTTTTTTTTTTTTTAATTCCTACTATTAGCTCACACTCTTCTTATATATTGTTCAAATTTTCAATCGTTAATGAAATACTTTTCATTCATCCACTCAAGTTCAAACATATTTTTTTAAACTTGTAGTGGATGACACTTGATGTTAACACAGTTTTTTCACATATTAAAGTCAATTCCTACTTATTTATTCCTGTTTATCGGAACTAAAGATATGCTGTATTTTATAAAATATATTGTAAGACTTACAAATAGTGACCGTTTCTTTTTTACTTCCTTGTACGACGTAAAAAGGAAGTATTGTAATCGCGAAAAGTTTCAGGCAGCATATTTAAACGAAAATATCCATTTTGACCGCTATCGAATGCAATTTAACGATGTTTTTGCGTGATATCTGTACGTAAGGACAGAATAAAATACTCTTTTCCTTCAAAAAAAAAAATATAAAACTGCTTTAAAATTAATTCTGAAGAGAATTTTTTCCGTCGCGTCCCGTACGAACGTATGTACGTACGTGCATACGTTACGTATCTCGCGCATAACTCAAAAACAAGTCCTCAGAACGTTGAAATTTTTGTATTAGGACTGCTATAACTGTAGATGTCACCTCGTATATTTTGGGTTGCAATCGGCCGCACCAAACGTATATAATATATTTATATGTATATCCATCTGTTACCACCCGGCTCAGTGATCTCAGTTTCTTACTCTTATATGTTCGTAAATTGTACATTTTTTGCTTTAAAAATGATTGAATTATGTGTTTTTTTTGTCTTCCGGTTAAAGTTTTTATGCCTTTAGTAATCTGTGTGCAATATTTTTAGAATTATCAGCAATTTTAAAGTTGTTTAATTGCCGCTAAGCCTGTTTTTAAATGGCGGCCATTGATCTTTACATTTGAAACAGAGACTAGTGGATTTGTTGCCAATCTAGGAGACCTTAGCTTCGCACAACAAAGATAACGCATTCATTTATTATTGCCAATTAAATCAGGCTTAATTCTTTCTGGAATTTTTTCGAGGAAATAAGCGTTTGAGATTTACTTCGGAATTTTTAATACAGATAATTTGAGTTTTTATGTATTTTTGCCTTCTCGCGAAGTGAGAATTGAATTAATCAAATTAGAAATACTCAATCGTCTGTGAAAAACTGTTTCTTTTCTTTTTTGTTTTGTTTGCTTAATTTCTTTTATACATAGTTCTAGCTTTATTATAGTATTGAATAGAACATGTGGCAACGATTAGATAATTCTTTAAATAATATACATTTTGTGCATTCTGAGTTATAATATGAATGAAATATAATACTGTTAAGGAAACCTAGCGCCAGAGTGTCGCTATGGTAAACAAAGTGAATTTTAAAGAATGCATTTGTTCTATTGTGGTTTATGCGCTGTCGGCGAAGTAGGTTTAATTCAATCTAATAAGTTTAAATAAAATGCAATAAAAAATGCGTATAATTTAATATTCCGTACAAGGAAGTCATGTGGTGTACACATCAGATTTTTTATTAAATATATTGTAAGACTTACAATAATGACATTTTATTTTTTATTAAATATATTGTAAGACTTACAAACAATGACCGTTTATTAGGAATTCTCACGTGCTATAAAAATTAATTTTATAACAACTTATAAATAATAGTACATGACTGTGATAAATGGAATAGTAATATTTAACAAAAAATAAGTGGCAACAGTAAGACAAAGTTCTAAAGATTTTTAAAGTGTATGAAATTAAAGAATCGTAGTTTTATAGAGTTGTATGAAGTGGATGTAATGTTCCATTATGTAGCGAAAATTTTCTCCATATTATTATGTTAACGTGATAATAATATATGTTTAAAATATAATCCTCTAAAATGGGTTCCTTGCAAAAGGAAAACTCTTCGCAGCAGGACAAGCACATGTCGCCTTGAGTCGTGTGAAATCATTAGATGGAATATTAATTGAAGAACCTGACTACTCGAAACTCAATGGAAAGGTTCCTTGCAATAATGAAGTATTACAAGAGATGGATAGAACGAGAAATTATAGACCACCATCAGCTTCATAAATTAAAAACGAAAAACTGTTGATAATGTTAATAAAAAGTAACTAAAATAAAAAATTTCATTGTTGACTTAAGTAGGAATTTACTTTAAAAATGTTTATATTACTTGTTTAAAATTTTATTACATGCTGTGTCATTAGACACTACACGGAAAGAGGGGATGCCCCATTGGAGGATGTTTTAGGGAAAACTGGTTAGTATCCATGTTACACACAGGAAAAGTTGTATATGCATTTAAACTTGACGATAAGATTAAGCAAAATTAAATAATAAATAAATACTGTTAAATAAAGATTAAATGAAGTTGGATCAGTTATTTTCTGGTTTCCCTGTACAACATAATTCAAACTTTGCGAAACATTGATCAGTAAAGTTAACAAAATAAATCAACTGCTGAAATTAATCAAAAACTTCAATGTACGCAACGTTTCGGATAAAAACATTAGTAAACATCCATCAGTTGAGTACGTCCACGGGACACACATTTTTACCTCTTCGCCTTCTCTAATATAAGATAAATCCTACGTTGTTTTCTAAGAGTTATGTATATCATGAATATAGAAATAGATGCTGTATATATCAGCAGTGTCACACATTTTATTTATTGAGTAACATTAATTGGTAAATAAGATTCTATATAAAGCCCACTCATAATAAATTAAATGTAAAGTAAATAATTAATAGTATTTTGTTTCTCTCCAGGAACGCTAATGGATATCAAATGATTCGAGAAAGCCTTTCCTTTACGAGTATCTTATCCGCATACCAACAGTCGGAGCAAACATGTCGCTCAAGAGCGATGAAGACAGTAAATCCGTCTATAAAGAATACATCGTTGATGATTCTGTTGTGGATTCGAAAGATAGTATCGAAGTCAGCGACCTTATAGGGGGTTATGGACCCTGGCAAAGGGACATCTTTGTTCTTCTCTTCCTTGCCTCTATTCCATCTGCATGGCATAATCTGCAAATGACTTTCATGGCCCCCACTGGCGTTGATTTCTGGTGTTCCAGACCACTTCACCAGAATGTGTCGGTAGATGCATGGAAGAACTGGAGTGCTCCGCCTGAACATCTAGGCGTAGATGGACGATGTCATATAGTGCCTTACTGGAGATTGCCGGACAACGCCACAATAGTGGAAAGTGATCTTCTTAAGTGCACTTCTTGGGAATATAACTCAACTTTCTATCCTTCTACAATTATAGACGAGGTAAGTGCTAAATTTCAAAGTTTATAATCGTTATAAATTCCAGGAATAATAATAAAAATTGCAATTCACATTTGAAAATTCAAATCTTTACACTAGAATTAAGAGAATGTTGCCCCCAAAGAAAAAAGTGGTTATTGTTCATTAAAACTAGTATTGAGTATTTCTGTAAACAATTATTCTCTGATGTCGCAAAACACAAAATGTCACCGAAGTTATAAGAGCCGTGCTCTAAATTTAAATATGTCGCTTCTAACATCGATTAAGAACTGGAAATGAAAATTTCTTCTTGACTTATCACTGTCAATTTAACATTTTGATAGCTGCTACCTTTAAAAGAATCAAACTTAATGATAATGTTTTGCCATATCAGATAACATGATTGGTGCCATTGAAAGTAGCTCTTTAGACGCGATGAGATATTAGCATTCTGGCATGATCCTGAAGCGAAAGAACTATTTCGATAAGTGGAAATCGGCACACTTTGAAATTAAAAATTCTGTAGCGGAAATTGCATTGTAGAATAGAAATCGACAAAATATGAAAGACGTAATTCGTCGATCGGAACTAAGTTTAAAATAATGATCATTAGCATACGAAGTCCAAATGACAAAGTATTTCTGCTGTTTTTACTTGGATCATTTGTGTCAGAGAAGACAGAATTTCTAGAAGAAGAGGAAACTGGCATAGTTTGTTCTATGATTCTTTGCTACGATGTCTATTTTTCGATAATTTTAGACTCAAAGTTTTTCAAAACATGTTTCAAGTTTGTCACATACTGTTTTGTCGCAGAACTTAGCTTCATGTGAATACTCCAAATTCCCACGCATAAAGTACCGTTTAAAGACAGTTTTGATGATGTAACCATCATCTAAAAACAATGACGTCGATTTCAAATATTTTCCCTTTATCTATAAGGTATAAAACATTCTGTTCACTTCCTAATTTTGCAAGTATTTATATAGAACAGATATCACAATTACTTTATAGGGACATTAGGTTATTTCGAAGCAGAAGACTTGAAAAATTAGCAATGCCCTCGCCGGAACTCAAACCACGGACCTCTCGAATACGCGTCGAGTGTGCTGGCCATTACACCACGATGGCTTGTTAACAATGCGGGAGAATTACCTTATGTACTCCCCCTTTTACAGGGTGACTGGGGATTAGGGTACCCAGTCGCCGAATCCTGGTGGTGGAGAATCATCATCAACCATCTTTTTAATTCGGGCGCCACAGTAGAAAGATTAGGTTATTTCGAAGCAGGAGACATGAACAATGAACAATGCCCTCTCCCGGACTGGAACCACGGACCTTTCGAACACGCGCCGAGTGTGCTGGCCATTACACCACGAAGGCATGCTAAGAAGGCGGCAGAAAGACCTTATAACTTAACTCGTCATTTTCATTCCTCGTAATCTTGTTTTGCAAGTTGTAATCACTGTTTAATAATACAGGCTTAAGTACCTACCAGAAAGTATTTTTTAGCTTTCTTCAGGAATTTTCTACAATGAATTTTTGACGTCAGGAGTTTTTTTTTTTTTTTTTAATCCACCATTTCGCTTTATGTTAGTAATGCCATGTATTAAATCGTTATTCAAGCAACAGTAGATCCCCCCCCCGAAAAAAAACTGAAAGGTTTCAAAACGAAACGGTCACCCAAAAGAGTTTTTTAATGTTTTTTATGATCTCGCTGACCTCGCAAGCTACAAGTCTACAGTTAAACTCTCTCCTACTAACCCATTTTTTTAGGTCTTTTTTTAGCCGTACTTTTAAGCATCATTTTCTTCGCACTTACGCCATATACAATTCAACAACAAAGTTACAAAAATTTTAAAAGTAGCGTAGCAGTATATGTTTTGAATTCCTGAAGTGTTGGCATACGTTTTTCCGTTTTGTTTTTCAGTCTTTTCTCAGTTCATCATATTAATGTTCAGTTTTCTTACTAAGATAGCTGTACAAAACTTTGTTTGTCTTTTTATTATTAACGTTTTGTGTGTTCACTTATTATATATCACGTTCATCACGTGACATAAAACTCAAATCAACGGCAATAATGCAAAATAATTAAAAATAGCTTATCTTTAGAATTTCGGATAAGCAGTCTCGCGCGCAGGAGGTAAAAATGTTTTATTCTGTACAGTGTTGCCACTGGTCGCTTTGAAATCATTGAGTTTATTAATCAAAAATTCTTTTGAGTTTTACCAGATATGAAATAGACAATAAAACAAATTCAAAATTCGGTCTTTCAGGTGCTAATGTTCGACTGGAGGACTGCGTTATTCAAAATTGGATGGCTCTAGGTACCTTTTTTATTTTTACAATATTCATGTAGATTCTTCATTGTTTAATTTCTTTAAATATAATACAGGACGATAATATTTGTGGCAACAATTTGGGAAGTTAGTAGTTTTAGTGATTCAACGCAAAATGCCGTTTTAAGACTAAAATCCCACTGGGGACTATCGTCCCTTTTGGGCCAGAAAAAGGGATTAAATATTAGCGATTTCAAGGCTAAATCCCTATTAAAGAATTTTTTGCGAAATTCGTGGTCGCTAATTAAATACAAGATTTTAGAAAAATAAATTGGAACTTGAATAAATCTTGTTCTGGTTTAAAAAAAAAATATCGTGAAAGAGATTTGATATCTAAAATTTAAAAGGCTTGAAATCCCTGTGAACTTCAGTCAAGCTAATTTCTTTTTAACTTCATGTTAACTTCAGTGAAGCTATTTCTTTTTAAATTCGTGTTAACTTTTTATAAGCTTAGGTAATTTCAAGTTGTTCACATACTTTTCCTTTCTTCAGTGGGACCTCGTTTGTGACCGAGAATGGCTAATTTCCTTTTCCAAGTCGATTTACAATGTTGGATACTTAGTGGCCGTGCTGGTGTTCGGTCAGTTATCAGATAGGTAAGTTTTACGAATCTTAAGTATTCTAGAAAGCATCATACTATTTTTTTATCAAGTGATTAAACTTATTTGATATGGGAGGAACATTGGAGCTGCTGGTATTTTTACATCTTACTTACTGCAGAGAATGATAAACATCTAGCTAGTAATTTAACAAATCAATTATCCAACTAATAAGAACACAAACAACTGCAAGTTCAGAGTAATTCAGTGTAAATTTAAGCGATTCAGATAGATGTCTCCTTTTCAAAGGTGTAAAGAGGGAGTAACATAAAAACAATACTCTTGCATGCGTACGCGTTCGTAATAGATTGAATATACACTGAACCGATGACTGCTTGATAACATTTATTTTTATTAAAAGAAACAGTTTACAGTTCTGGAACCTTCCACAAAATCACTCATACAGCTCTTCTCAGTATCACAGAACACAATCAGTAGTTACACTCCAAATTACTAAGAACGTTAAACACAACGCACTGCAAAAAAGCATCTAAAAGGCGAAGCTCTCAGAGATACCTCAGTACTCCGAAGTCGCTCTGAACTAACAAGAACTGAGAAACTGATGCTGTGGCAGGTAGTATATATTTTTTCCTGGCCGCCGAGGAATTTCTAGTACTTTCCATTTCTCGAAATTACTGGAAGGCGTATGACGGGCGGATGCGGTTATGGTTACACAGATAATCAATAACACTTTTTCAGTTAAATATCCATTATGGACCGGACCATACATTGGAACGGACTAAAATGTCGCCTAATGGTCGACAAATTTGGCAAGCGAAATTAGTCGCCAAAAAGCATCGCCAGCTTGGCAAGAAGACGGCGATATAGTCATTTACTCAAAGCTATTTAGCGAAATAGCCATTATTCATATATGTTCTATCTTCATAGATTTCGCCTAAGAGACAGTGACCAATGTATTTATGGCAGTACTGGTGACCCAGATCACTATCTGTTTGACTGCTCGCACACAGCGAATTCACATTTCAAAAGACCAACTGCAATCAATATGCCGACATGGTTCCAGAACACATATAAGAATAAATACACGTTCAGCCGCATTAGAGACTACACTACCATTGCTAAAAGCATTGCTGACAGCCTGGGGTGGCTTCTTTCCTTGGACACCGTACCATTAGCAGCCCGCTCTGTACATATATTAACTTACTTAATGTCTTTTTTTATTGTTTTGTTTTTGTTTTTGCTTTGTTTTGTTTTTAATTATATTTTATATTATGATTAATCCAGAACTCAATTAATGTATTCCACAATTTGTAATTTATTACTGATGACTGATTATTATAGCACATCCTTAATATAACTGTATGCCTAACATGTACCATAATAGTGAAAAGTGTTCCGCTTATTCTCAGCAGTCCTCAACATGCACTTTCCATGTTCTTGTCCTTATTTCAATGTTCCTCGTTTCGTATCGCCAATCCCCGGAGGATACAGTACTAAGCTCTTTATTTATACTTATATTATTTTTAATTCCATCGACAGGATCCAACAGGCTGAAAAGCACCAACCCAGTGGGCCAGCTGTTCCGTCGATGGCGAAAAGAAAGAAAGAAAGCCATTTACTTAAAGAGACTGTTTTAGTTAAAGAAAGTGTCTAGCTAGTTAAAGAGACTCAAGGTTAAAGAGACTGTTTTAGTTAAAGAAAGTGTCTAGCTAGTTAAAGAGACTCAAGGTTAAAGAGACTGTTTTAGTTAAAGAAACTGTCTAGCTAGTTTAAGAGACTCAAATGTTAAAGAGACTGTTTTAGTTAAAGAGACTGTCAAAGTTAGAGACTCGTTTGTTTTCCCTGTATTCTGATTTTTTCAGCAAAGTTTCGCTCTTAAGATTTTCATATTATATTATAAAAAAAATATTAAAAATTCTTATATAATTTCACTAAAATTATCTACATATGTGTGAAATTCCTAACAACGCATTAGCAAAAATAAACTTCATAACAAAAGGACTGATGTTTTATTTAACATAGTTTATTAATCGTGCATTTATTTTATCATTTATTTTAATTATTTTTTTTTCCTCTCTGAATAGTGTAGGCAGGCGTCCTACCCTCCTGTTCTCGTATGTGCTTAATGTGAGCTCGAGCTTCCTATGTGCCTTTGCTCCATCTTTCGCCATGTTCGCAATTCTCAGGTTTTTTACAGCCGTGGGAGGTGCCGGATTTTACACTGTCTCCTTCGTTATACGTATGTACATCTCTAGCTTTCAAAGTTTCTGTATTCTTAAAAAGCTTCATGCTTATATACAAGGTGTTTGAAAAAAGTGGCTATAGGGTTATTTCCTTAACACGTTGAGTACTACATCACTCAGGCCCCAGCGGCCGAGCGGTAAAGTCGCTGAACACTGGTAGTTCGGTCCGAGGTTCGAATCCCGCGAACGGGCTGGCTGCATCGGTGTTTTCGTGGTTTTCCCCATGTGTAACGTGTATACGAACCAGTTTCCCTTAGAAAGTCTTCCACGAAGGCATCCCTCCCCTTAGGCAGATGGCCCTAGTGTGCTTTGCCATAATTAAGTACACCACCACCACCACCACCACCACCACTACGTCACTCACCGGTGACTGGCACTGAACTTTCCGTTGAGGCCGCGTCAGTCACCGGTGACTATCTGTGATAAATACGATATAAAACAGAAAAAAAAATTACATTCTTATAATGAATTTTATTGAAATACGGTAAACGTCAAAACGGTTGTTTTTCGTAGGTATCATAATATATGGCAACTTGCTTAGTCAATTTTTTGGCCATTGCTCTACCAAAATGTGTCGCATCGCATTCTTTTTTCGCATAATTTGCTTAATTTATAATATATCAGTCGTATAATTTAAAATATCTTTGACTTTTCCAGCTTTTTTGGGGGTCGGGGAATTTTTGTTGTGGTTTTGTAGTAGTAGTTTCAATAGAAATTTATACTCTGTAGCCACTATTTTCAGGCCCTCTTTATGGCGTGAGTTTGCTTTTAAATATGCAACGTGTTTTAACGTACACTGCGGAAAAAAAAGGGACAGTTCTATATCTCCCGTTCTACTGAGTCCATTGACGAAATTCAAGTTGCGTTTCTCATGTCTCGAAAGTGAGACTTAGGATATATATTAGATTAATATATAGCACTGTTCTAATAAAGGTATTTTGACACAAACTCGGACTTTTTTGAAGGCATGCCAATTTTTTTCCATATTTCAATTCTGCGACTCCAATTATGCCTAAATATTAAATTTTGTAAAGTTTGGTTTTACTGAGAAATTTTAAAATTTATCTTGACGTATTTTTTTCAGTTTGCGCCAAGAATAATTCACTTGGCGAACTTCTTTATTTATAGCAACCTATTTTCCTTTCGCCCCTTTTTTTTTTTCATTGTAAACGAGCGGGAAAAAGTCATAGTTCATAATTTCAAATAATTTTAACCAAATGCATAAAACACATTTGGCGTTATTATCGCTTATAACAAATATGCCAAATTTCAAATTTTCTAGGATATACGTGAATTTACATATTGGAAAAATGCACCAATATGTAAATTCACGTATATCCTAGGAAATTTTGAATAAAAAACTCTATTTTTGAAGGGATACTTAGAAATACATCTACTTAAGATGATGGTAAAACTTCTATAGGTTATAATTCAAAAATGTTTTCGAAAAATTTATAAAAGTTATTTAAAAAAAATTGTTTAAATAAATCATAAAAAAGGTGAATTTTATTTGGAATAAACCTAAATTTCAAATTCTGGAAAAAGGAGCAAGTTATAAGGTATTTCTCCCGCCTTCTTAGCATGCCTTCGTGGTGTAGTGGTCTGCACCCTGGGCGCGTATTTCAGAGGTTCGTGGTTCGATTCCCGGCAAGGGCGTTGCTCATTTTTCAAGTCTCCTGTTTTAAAAATTACCTAATGTCTCTACAAAGTAAGTTTCATAAAAAATAGATATTAATAAATGTATATAAAATTAAATTAATACTGAGGAGCTAAAATTTTGAGAGCTAATGTTTTAAAAACTACTCATGCGACATTTACGAAACTTGGCAGTTTGGCAGAATTTGAGAGCTGTAGAATTGAAATATGGAAAAAACTTGGCATGTCATTTCAGAAAAAGTCCGATTTTGGTTCAAAATACCTATATTAGAACAATGCCGTATATAAAACTAAGACATGTCCTAAGCCGCGTTTTCGAGACATGAAAAACGCAAGTTGAATTTCGTCAATCGGCCTAGTAGAACGAGTGATATAAAACTTCCCCCCCCCCCCAATTTTTTTCGCAGTGTACATAAATCATTTACAGTAATACGTAAGTCGAACATCATGGAAATAAATCGGCATTTTCAAAGTTAGGGGAAAATTTACCGACGCTTACGCCAGTAGCCTTCAAACTTGACACCTCTTTTTTTTTTTTTTTTTTTTTTTTTTTTTTTTTTTTTTTTTTTTTTTTCCCCTTAGTGTGGTGTTGCTTACAACTCGTAATTATGTGCTTAAAATTTACCGGTAACCACCTTAGTACGATTGAAGAAACAGGAATTGAGACTAGTGTGAGGTGCTGTCGTTTCTTGCATTATAAGTTTACACCAAATTTGGCTTTTGAGCAGAATACAAGAATCTTTTAAGCAGAAACACACCCGCAATTACTAGAGAGTTTAAAATAACGGAAAATAGGTATTGGAGCTCTCAACCTCTGGTCGTGAAGAAAGGCTACATTAACATTACCGTTTATATATCATAAATTCTATATATTACAGTAGCATGAGGGAAAATCTGCACTGTTATCAGAGCAAAATATTAGATAATTCTGTATCTTAATCAAACAAAAATAAATTGCTGTCAAGCTTGGAGACTTCCCTAAGTCTCCACGCTAATTGACATTACAATTAATTTAATTATTATTACAATTAATCTAATTGGCATTACAATTAATGGATGCCAAGTCATACCATCTCATTGAAATATGGTAATGACTACTCTGTTTCCTTCTTTCTTAACATCAGTCGTGGCATATAATTGAAAATTTAGAAATTTTAAGTATTACTTATGCTATCTTTGCAGACAAGGTCTCTTTGCCTCTTGATGGCCATTTGTACTATTGTGTACATTCCCAAAGAATTAGTCATGTTTATGATCAGATCGATTGTATTGTCATATGTACTAATGCAGCTGAAATATCATATTTTTTTTAATAAGAGATATTATTTTGAATAGCTTTAATTGTAACGCTGAAGTTATTAAAGAACGTACGTCTAAATTTCTAATTGAGACCAATGGATGATTCGTATATTAAAGCTCGGCCGATCTCGATGACGACAATTTGCCTTATAGATTTCAGCCAAGGGCACATTTAATCCTGTTTTCCTTTCAGAAACTTCTGATGCTTTTCGTTGAATTAATTTGAGACTTAAAGGAATATATATATTTTTTAATTAATCTGAGACTTGAAGGAATATATATTTCCTTTCTTTAAACAATAATATGTAAAGTTTTTCTCTGTTTGCAAGCACTTATTTTTCGTTAATTTAACGTAACATATAATTTGGTTGTTTGAAGAACTTTGTGAGAAATTCTTTCAAACGCACCAAGAACTTCTCAAAGGCATTCTAGAACTGTATTTTGTATAATTTTAAATTGTGCTGAGATTTTGTTTCAGATATGCTTATTAAAGATGTTAATGAACTCGTGATTTTTGAATTAGAGTATTTTAGAAAGAATTTAAGTTAATTTTTATGTGTTTTAGTAATGGAAATGGTAAGCCCGGGATTTCGCTCAATGGTAGGCGTAGCCATCAATTTTGGTTGGTGCTTGGCCTTTATCAGTCTTCCTGCGGTGGCCTGGATCATTAGAGATTGGTTCTGGCTGCAGCTGGCTCTTACAGTCCCGAAACTGCTGTTCATTTCTGTTTTTTGGTGAGTTAATTCCTTATATATGAAGCTATCTAGAGTATAAAATTCAATAAATAAGTTAGTACTTAAAACTTTAAGAAATTATAAAAGGATTTTTTTTTTCCAGTATTAAAGATTCAGGTTCTTTGCCCAAGGGATTTAACTTCAATTCCACTAAAATTAGTTTTATGTTCTTTATTTCAATATATTGGCGATAATTTAAACCTGAACATCACTTATAATTAAAATTCTCTAAAATACTTTAAACTTTTTGCGTCCATTTATTAAAGAATTTAGATACTAGTGACTGCTAAAAGTTTTTTAAATCACTGCCACCTAATTGGCGAGAACCTGAAACTATTCATACTTACACCAAAGCTAGAAAGACAGCTTAAACATTAAAGCTTCTAAAACAGTAATAATGTTGATTAAAGCGTATATCTTGTTACTTAATTTTTACATTACGAACGATTTAACGATTAGACAAGCTACTTCTTTGAAAGATAGTTGAAAACAAGTTATGTTTTCCCACACAATAACACCAGCATTATGTTTTAAAGCGCAATGCTAGAAATGCATTTACCTCTAATTTCAGAGTCAATAAAGTACAAGCACAGCGTATCTTGCATGCTCAAATATTAAGCGTAGCTTGCGTCAGGAAAAAAAGAAGAAAATAATTCATTTAGAACTTAACAAGCCAATTCTGCGGCATTTATAGTCAAAAAACACAGATCTGAGAGGCTCGTATATCTGTTAATTCGCTTCTGATTTTATTCCGGGTATCTGAATACGCTAACTGTATGAAATTATCGTGATTTTCTACGTATCAGCCATTCCTCTTGACTTCCTGCATAAAGACATATTTATCCATAAAGGGATGGTTCTAATATATACTCTGCACAAAAAAAAAAAAAAAAAAAAAAAAAAAAAAAAAGAGGGACAGTTCTGTTTTTCTCCGTTCTACTGGGTCGATTGACGAAATTTTGCGTTTAGTCTCGAAAGCATGATTTAGGCTACGTATTAGACTTGAGTATAGCATTTTTCTAACATAGGTATTTTGGAGTGATTTTAAAAAAATTACTTCTCAAAATTGTAGCTCCTCAATGTTAATTGAATTTGGTATATATTTATTAATATTCCGTTAAACTTACTTTATTCCTTCGTTCGATTTTTTAAAATTTATATTTTTAATAAGTGTTAGAAATTTTAGGAAAAATTTTTGAATTATATAAAATTTAGTTCATAAAAATTTTTATAAATTTTTACAACAACCTTAAAGCAGACGATTTTTAGGCGTACCTGCAAAAAAATTAGTTTTTTATTCATCATTTCCCAATATTTGCGTGAATTTATATGTTTGTACGTTTTGAAATTTAGAATATTTGTTATAAACGATAATAACGCTAAATGTCGTCACGCACTTCTGGCGTTATTATCTAATTATTCTAAAAATTATTTGAAAGAATGAATGATGCTCCTTTTTTTCCGCTCATGTACATTGAAATGGAAAGAAAAATAGGTTACCATAAATTAAGAATTTCGCCGAGTGAATTATTCTCGGCTCAAACTGAAAAAGATAAATTTTATATAAATAAATATAAAATAAGAGAGAATTTTTTTTATTTAATTTCTCCATAAATGTTTCAATTAATTTCTCCGTAAATTTCTCATCAAATTTTACAAAATTTAATATTTAGGTATAATTTGAATTCTAGAGACGGAATATGGGAAACCTCATTTCAGAAACTGTGTACCTCATTTCTGTGTACCTCATTTCAGAAAGTCCAATTTTGTGTCAAAATATCTATGTTAGAACTATGCTACATATAAATCTAATACATATCCTAAGTCGCGCTTTCGAGACATGAAAAACTCTAATTAAATTTCTTCAATCGAAGCAGTTGTAGAGTTCCTCTCTTTGAAATGCTGAGTTACAGTTGAACGTGAAGAATCTTAAGAACTGATGAGCGAATAATCGCTTGAGTTCGTGCGGCAGGAAAGAAAAGGATGGAAGGATAACCCTTTATTATCCAAATAAGATTTAACAGAACTTCTTCTTGGAGTGTACAATAAAAGCCGACATTTGGGCTTGAACTTACGAGACTAAGAATTAAACTAAGACTAATCTAAACTAAAAGAGATATCTTGATAGCCGAAGCTATCAAGATTCTACCAGAGTTGCCCCTTAACGTTAATAGACTGCGAAGCTATCAAGGGCCTAAAGTACGGCCGAGCGTATTAATAGTTTACGAGAGAGTAGTCTATAAAGGGCGGACGCGTGCAGACAAGTATCTGGTAACTCTCTCCCTAAAACGAAAGAACTTCACGGTTAAATACCGCTCTTCCTCATTATGTATTCAGACGTGATTCTAAAACTACGTTCTGACCGGAAGTAGTAAGTTGAAGTTAAGAATCAACAAGAAAGGAACTTAAAATTTAACTGTTAATAAAATTAACATAATCCTTACACAGTAAAATGGAAGATATAGAACTGGCTCATTTTTTTAATGCAGAGTGTACCTTGCCTTTATCAAATAATCGAATACAATCCATTTAAGATTACTAATTGCTCATACTAATTATCAATAATAATATCCAATATAATGCTTGACGTAATATTATAATGGAATAGTGAAGCTTTTTCTTCGTCAGTGACTTTATTCAAGCCCAGTACGATACTGAAAGAAGTCTGCTGTAGAAAACAAAAGACGATAAATGGATATGTTCACTATCAAAGAGACATATGTGAAGACTCTTGCTTAGAATGCTGGAACATTCACTTTCTGAAATAATTTATCTAAAATATTTACTTGTCGAAACTGGTTATAAGTTAAAACATAATAATCAAACAATTTGAAATTTAATTAATTGTTTGGCTCTTATTTAAAAAAGCTATATATTATTTAAAATTTGATCTTTAGGGTGATACCAGAATCTCCTCGATGGCTGCTAATCCGCAGTGAAAAAGAAGAATTCCGGCGTGTAGTGCTAAAAGCATCCAAGAAAAATGGCTTGCCAGAAGCTTTCGTCCAATCTGAAGTAGACAAACTACTTTTGAGGACAGAAGAATTACGAGTAAGCTCCGAATCTTCAGCCACGGTGTTTGATCTCTTTAAAACTCCCAGATTAAGAAAGAATACTTTGATACTCTTTTATAACTGGTATGTAGGCCCACTTCTTTTCATTTAAGTTTATCATTTATGATTAAAATTTAGTTTTCTTCTGCATAAAGGTAATCATCACGAGCAAATGTGTCACCTGATGGCTGATCGCTGCCGAGTTGTTTCATCATTTCTGCAACAATTATTTGTTGCAGAAATGATGATATCTAATATATTTAAAATTTTGGTATGTCTTTTGATAGCAAATACCAATTTCAGGTCACCAAAATACAGATTGTTGAGATTTTTCCCCCCTCTTTATTTATATAGTTTATCCATATCATCGACACGTTGTTTATCCATATCATTGACTCAGTTGTGAAGGTACGTTTATTGTTTATAAACGTACCTTCACAACTGAAAAAAAAAGCTTGTATTTGTCGAGTTAGTTCTTCATAACAAAATCCTCTCCTCTTCTATCAAATTTTAGATGAAAATATTTCTTCAGTAGGATATGATTCAGTAGATATAATGCTTTTAATGTATCCTGCTACTGTTATTTTACGGGGTCAGCTATTGATTGATAGTAACTGAGGTGAATAGCTGCTTTTAAATAGCTTAGATTATTAATCAATAACAGGCAAGTTCAGTTTGGAAAAAAAAAAAAAAAAGGAAACTGAACACGTTTTACGGAACGGCAGCACACCAGCAAGTGGAAGATAAAAATATTTTATTTCGGTCAAAGGCTGACATTTCTTCTAAATCACGGAGTTTGTTGATTCAATTTGAAAGACACATACCTTACACTTTGCCCAGTGGCAACAGATTTCTTTTAACTCGCTAAATTTATTAATTAAATTTGAGACGTAAATATCTTACGCTTTGTCCAGTGGCAACGCACTGCTTTTAAATCGCCGAGTTTGATAATCAAAATTTAATTACTTCGCAAAAAAACATCGAATAAATTAACAAATTTAAAGTTCGGGATCGAGGGGCACATGTTCGGGATCGAGGGGGAAGGCTACATGTGTTTGAAATCTGATATCTTTACGTGCTGCTGTTTTCCCACAGTGTGAAAAATATACCTACATACATACAAATTCCTCATTATTTTTATAGTTAGAGAATTATGTGCAGTTCTTAAAACAGACCTCACTTTCATTTCTGTTCTGCATGAAGTGTTTTAAATTGCTAAGCGTTCATATTAATTTTGTTAGTAAATTTAATTTCAAGGTTGGAATTTTAAAATTCTAGTTTTTATAATATTTTAATGTTCCCAATTTTAATGATTTAGAAATCATTCTCATTACCAATATTAATTCAATTTAATATTTAAAACAAGAGATATGATAACACACTGTGGAAGCAGACGTTACTTTCTGTAACTTCTGAAGAGTACTTGTCCATCACTGTACTTCAGACTATAGCGAGATTCATCAACTTGTTGAAACAACTTGAGCAACAAACTCGAGTAAACAACTTGTTGAAACAGGACACGCGCCAGGCACTGTGTTGTTATCCCCATTGAGTTCGGAGACGTTTGTGATTCAGCGACAGGGGAATCGTGTGTAGAAGAACCCTTGCACGCGGTTCTTGCTGCAGCAGAAGGCGACGAACAGTGGGACTAGAAAACATAACACCTGTAAATATGCTCCAACATTGTGCTAACACACGACAGGACACTGTACGATCCGTCACCGCCATGCGGATGAGGTGTCTGTCGTCCTTTGCCGTGTGCTATTGCGTGCTCCATTACCAGGATTTCGTCTTGTTTGGTTCTCCTCTATCCAATTCTTCCAAACACGCATCACTGTTGCGGCATTACGCTGCGTGCGGGCTGCAACTGCTTGATACAAAAATTCCACCCTCTCGCATACCGACGATGCGGCCTCTTTCGAACTCCGTTAGTTGTTCGTACGGCACCCTCCGTTGTTGACGATGCATATTAACCCCTAATTAAACATTCACCGCAAACAAGAAAACGATAAACATATTTCAACGCAATTTTACAGTCCTTTATGTATGTTACCGACAAAGTATGAAATCCGGCATTCTATAGAATGCCTAGGTATTGTATAGGCATTGTTTATATATTGCCAGCTAGTTTTAGGCATTGCAATGCCTAAAACTGGCTGGCAGTATATGAAACGAATCATATTTCGCACATTTCCTAGGCATTCTATAGAATGCCAGATGATAAACCGACAAAGTATAAAATACTTTTCCGATTCGTTTCGAAGAATCGAAACTACTTACCAAAACTTAATAAATGATGTAAAAAGGCCCAAATGACTACTAAGAAGGAACCATGGGACTACTGCCCGCCGAATCGCTAGTATGTGATGTTTGTGGAAAACAAAAGTACATTCATTTATCCTGTTAAAGAAAGCGTCAGTACTATCCAGTATTGCGTCACGGAAGCTGAGTTATTTTTCGTATTTCATGAAAACTCGTTTGAGTACTGCACAAGAATGACGTGACAGAATATCGAAAGAACTTTCAACCAATTACAAAAATCTTACTCGTATTGATATTGAACCGTAACAACCACCTTTGTGAACCCTGCCAGAAAAAGCAAAAAGGTATTAAAAAGGACACTGATGAGAAACTTATGATTGTTTCTGAATTTCACTTCTGTTGTCGTATAGATCTTATCGATTCCCAGTCTCAGCCAGATAAAAAATACAGATTTGTTACGCTGTATCAAGATCACCTCATTATCTCTCTCTCTCTTTTTTTTTTAACATATTTCGAAGGACAGTTTTTTAGTGGCAATCTTTCATTAATTTTTGAAAATCACATTTGTATTTTTGTATATTATAACATTTGTATATTAATGAACGTCTTTTAAATAATAGCTTTATCATAACCTTTTTTTTCATACTTTGCCTAAAGAGCATTTGTCACTCTATAGAATGCCTAGGTAAAGTATGTAATAATTCTCTTATTTCATACCTGAATCCTGAAATCGTCCGGCATTATATACAATGCCTAGCCATTCTACAGAATGCCGGCGTTTCATACTTTGTCGATAACATACACATGGAACAAGCGGCCGGTTCTCATTTTAAGCATGCGCAATCGCTTTGTAATTCTAATTATTTGCGTGGCTTACCTCAGTTTACATTTCCTGTAAGTTTGGTTCAGTTTGCATAATTCCTTCATGGTGCTTATATTTTCACAAGTACTAGTGCACTTTTTTCCTTCCCGCGAAGTGAGAACTGAATTGATTCAATGAGAAATACATTTCTGATGAAATTCGAGGAAATAGGTTTAAATGAAGTGCAGTAAAAAGTGTGTTTAATTTAATAGGCCGTAAGGAAGTCATGTGGTGATCCACATGGTCCACATCAGATATTTAATTTTATGACTTGACACAAAATAGATGTCTGTCAAATTTAATAAACATGTGCATTAGATATGAAATATTTTTGACAAAACTACTGTAAAATTAAGTGTGTGCAGATTCCAAATCAAATTTTTAAGCATCTAGTCATTATACTATGAAAGTAAGCACATGCTGTTCAATCTTACTGTGTCTTTTGATGTATATTATTATAATACCACACACTAAATTGTTCTTTTTAACTAATAAAACATCTATTTCAGGTTGGTGAACTCGTTCATCTACTTCGGCCTTTCATACAACACAGGTGACCTATCACCTGATCCCTACATAAGCTTCTTCCTTTCAGGGGCAGTAGAATTTCCAGCCTATTTAGTGACGATGAAAGTAATTGGTTCTGTAGGCCGGAGAAAACCGCTTGCTTTCGCTATGATGGCTGGTGGTGTTGCTTGTGCTCTTGCGATTCCCGTACCTTCTGGTAAGTGCTTTCGCTGTTTCAAGCTTTGTACCGTTACTATTATTTAGATTAACCAGTTATTTATAACTTCAGCATTTACTATAACTTCTGCTTTCAGTTTCCTCACCAGATATGTAAATTAATTAGAGAGTATTAAAGCTGAGGTTTCTGAGAAACGTTACTAAATTTTGTCACCTCTGATAAGATTGCGATTCTTCGGCTTTGCGTTGTTGCTACCGACATTTAATTGTTACGTGTACAGCGGTGAGAAGTACTGCGGTGGTGAGTACAGCGGTACGTGTACACTGTGTACAGCGGTGAGAAGTTCTGAGACGAAATCAGTTGTATAGTCTTTGCGTACTCGGTTTAGTTTAACTTTTAAATTTGACAATTACTTTAAGTTCCTTCGCCATAAATGGTGGTTGTTTTGTTAAGCACACAGACATGCATCTTATGTTTAAGTTCTGATTAAATAAAAAGGTTATTTTAACCTTCTCAGATCTCCATCGTTAACTTTACACACAGCCACAATTTGCTCGAAGTTTGTTAGGAGTTTGATACAAGGTTATGCTACCAAAGCAAGTCAAACTGTATAGCTTAAAGCTGAGTTACTGACAGTTTGATTTCGTTAGACACAGCCGTAAATACTTTTAAAATGTGCATCAGTCTTTCTATGAAACACGCGAAACTTATTAGCCGAAAAGGGACGTTAGTCTCGAATGGACTATTATTTTCGAAACGGCATTTTCTGTTGAATCACAATAAACGGCGTATCACTTTTCGAATTGTTGCTACCAAATATTATCGCCCTGTATTATATTTAAAGAAATTAAATAATGAAGAATATGCTTGAACGTATGTATGTTTCTCGCACTGTGTACAGCGGTACCTAGAGCCATCCAATTTTGAATAATGTTGTCCTCGACCAGAATATGGGCATCAGGAAACCCGAATTTTGAATTTTATATTTCAGATTTGTAAAACTTTAATGAACTTTTAACAAAATCAACAATTTCAAAGCGAGCAGTGGCAACACTGTACTAAAAAAAATTACCTCCAGCGAGCGAGACAGTCCATCGGGAATCCTAAAGACATGCTGTTTTTAAATATTTTGTGATTTTGCCGTTGAATCGAACTTTATGTGGCGTAAACGCCAAAAAAGTAATATTTAATAAGTAAACACACAAAACGTTAGTAATTAGAAGGAAAAACAAGTTTTACGAAGCCATCTTAGTAAGAAAACTAAACATTAATATAATGAACAGAGAAAAGGAAAAAAAAACAGAAAAATGAATGCCAACACTTAACGCTGCATCCGGAATTCTAAACGGATACTGCTATGCTGCTTTTAAACTTTTTGTGATTTTGCTGTTGAACTGTATCAGGGTTCATAGCCACATTTTAGTTGAAAAAATAAGCACCTATAAGCACTTTTCAAGCACATTTTAAGAAAAAAAAAAAATAAGCACCTGTCTAATTTACATTATACACAACTGCATAACCTTAAAAATTAGACTTATAATTTAAAATATGAGAAATGCAGTATTTATTAAGAGAGAATAAGCATTACCTCAACCATGGAAAATATTTTTTTTTTTTTTAATTTTAAATAACAGTTCAATTTACCGAACTAGTTTACAATGAGAGGAAAAAAGAACTATGCAGAACTAAACTATATTACAAGATTTTTAATGATGAAATTTCAGTTCAAAATAGAGAAAATAAATAATAATAAGGCATATTTATTGTATTCACTTGGAACCTAATAATAAATACAATTTATTTTTCCACTCATATTGATATTTAAATCTAAATTCTGAACATTTTCTAAATTTTCATTGTATATCAGTTTTCCCTTAACAGATATTGCAAGCAAAGAAATTTAAGTAAAAAAGAGGAAACATTTCTGAAATCAGAAGACAGGAAATTGCTTCATGCAGTCATCCTTTTAACAGCAAAAGCTTAACTAACCCGCATACTTAGAAATTGGCGAATATTCGGACATTGTCGAGCGTAACTTGGAAAAAGAGGAGCAAGGGGGGGTAGACTGTAGCCGTTCGTTTAGATTTTTCCTGCTAAATAAATGCTTTTTTGACATTTCGATATGCGCATCATATAAAAATAAACCAACGGAACTGAAAAATATTCTGCTTAACAAGCACAGTAAAACTCTTTTAAGTGTTCATAAACAAATCTCGGACAGAACATCAAAATTAATTATCTCTGCAAAATATTGCAAGCGTTATTGCGCAATACGTGCGCCGTAATTCTTCCCTACGTTATATTACGCAATCGGAATCAACAGTTGCCGGTATTGGGAGAATAAAGAACTAAATAACTGGGGTGCTTTTCATTCTAATTTTCAACAGACGGCGTTAAATTTCCGGAATAGAATCACTCTTCGCTTGGGTTGGTAGACCGCAGAACTTTTAGTCCTATTCAATTCAGATTGGAAAGTGACCGAAAAAAAAAAAGTCCGTTGCTTGTTTTGCAGCGAACTGTAACAGTTTCAATATTCGAGATTTTGCGGAGAAAGGGAAGAACCTCCCAATCTTCGTATACTGCATAATGTATTGGCCCAAAAAAAAAATTATTTTGACTACTCAATTACTTTCCCTTTATATAAGCCATTCCGAATATTATTCCTTAGAAAGCTAATCTGTGTTAAAACACAACCATTTTTGAAAGTTTACTATACTTCAGCAGTTACTGCAACTACGTTATTATAAACATTCATACATATGCTCATATTATAAGCATAACGATCATAATAAACATGAATATGAACTGACCAAGCGGACCGAGAATGCAAATTATGAAGATCTTGTTAGAAATTCAAACGTGTGTAGTATTTTGGGGTGGGAGGAAAAGAATGCCGAATGTATCCGGAAATTTTCTACCTGCTTTCGCATTTCTTTGACCAATAGAACGACGGGCACCACATGTCTGTACTCTTCGTGCCCGCACCAAAGGTTACGTTAATGCAGAGAAAGGGGAAAAGCTATTTCCGGGAGTATGATTCACCATCTGATATTCCATATTAGGAAAAAAGTTATTTATTTAGTTTCGGCTTTGGTACCGGGAAAAACAGCGCGTTCATTAAAAAAAAGAGCACTAAAAGCAAAAAAATAAGCACTAAAAATAAAAAATAAGGGCTTTAAAGAAAACGTAAGCACCTATAAGGGCCTTTATATTTTATTTTCAAATATAAGGACTTATAAGCAACGCTACGAACCCTGTGTATATGGCGTAAGTGCCAAGGAAATGATGCTTAATAATAAAGTTAAAAAGACAAAAAAACTTAATTAGTAGGAGTGAATGTAACAGCAGACTGGTAGACTGCGAGCTCAGCGAGAGAGTAAAAAAACCTTAACAAATCGTTTAGGGCGACCGTTTAAATTTGAAACCTATCAGTTTATTATTATTATTATTATTACAGTTACAATTTAATTTGATTTTATGTGGTTTGGACGTTAAGTCGATTGTTGAATAGATAATTTAATATTGGTTTTATATAGTTGGATTTATCAATGAAAACAAATATTAAATTTTGTTAAGCTAAATTGATGTTGTATTGCACAGAGTGCCCGGAAAGTCCCTGCTCCTTGAGCGTAATACAGTAAGTGCCGCTTAACGTGATATCACGTTTGTTCACGGCTATTTTGATAACATTAATGAGTAATGGAATTCGAAACAACTATGGAATTCAACTAATTTAATATCAATATAGCTATAAACAGCCATTTTAATTAGGAAAAGGCAAAAGTTTGTTTATGATCACATTAAGCGGCGTATTAGCAATATAAATATTATATGTAGTACAATAGAAATCGCATTATCTGCCGCGCGTCGTCCAATCCGGGTACCACTATTTGAGCATCCACTTTCCTATAGAAAATTCTGAAGGAGGGGAGTATAATCCGTATCACCTTAGGAGTTACATGTTGCGACCGTGCCAACGTAAAGTAGGGAATTACATACCTCATAGAAAATACAAAAGTGTGGCGAAAACCTTTGGATGCAGGGAGTACGACGCCAACACGTTCTGCGCAACCACTGCGATGACAGATATGATAATTTCAATAAACAGTGGCTTTTCGGACACTCTGTAGACATATCTTAATAAATTGAATATAAAGTGAATGAAGTCTTAAAAATGGAATTTTTTGTGCTATGATATTATCATTCATTTCTAGATATGGTGATTGGTAAAGCATTCTTTCCCCTGGTGGGCAAGTTTTGCATAACAGCGACGTTCGCCACTGTTTACGTTTATTCAGCCGAGATCTTTCCAACAGTCGTCAGGAATGTTGGTCTCGGAACCGGATCCACAGTGGCTCGCATAGGCTCCACAGTAGCTCCTTTTGTTCGAGAACTGGTAAGTAAAATTAATGAAACTACATTTATTAACTAATCTTATAGAAATTTGTGCAAACCAATATTTAATGTTCTAACACATAAGACATTATCAAAATTAAAAGGCTATCTAAAGAAAAACTGTAGACCCATCAGAGATCGAATCTTGAATAATTATAGCAGCATTTCCCAAATGTTGTTGTGTTTAGCAAAATTCTGGATCTTTCGTTTATAAGATTAAGGGTTCTATGCAATAGTTTTAACAAGTGTTTAAGTTTTGCATAGGAAGTAAAGGAATTCGATTTGTAATACCCCGGACTCTCCCAGATCCATCACAGTTGCGGTGTTCCGTTTGGAGACCGGGCATCGCTACACATCGGGACCGCTAAACATCGGCATCGCATCGGTACATGATAGCCCCTTGTGAACTTTGTGCAACCACAATTTTGAGATGGACACAGATCATTTGCTAAAATATTCCTCGTTGAAGGAAAGAAACTTATACAGTCCCAATATTGGTGGGCTAGTTCATGCAATTTGACAACCAGTGATTATTCTTTTTATGCTTAATGTAGTTATATGTTATTCCATTTTCCACTTTCGATGTACCTATTGGGTACTTTTTCGTTTTGCCGGCGCAGGCGATAAAGTCGCCAATAGTGGTACAACTGATGATAAACGGAATATCCTCTCTGGTAACATTTTATGCCTCATTTTCAAAACAAATCGCAGTTATTTCTTATCAGATTGATTGTTTCTTTCAATACTGGCATAAAATTACATAAAACTTTTACCAGATAGCTCAATTTTATGCCCTCAGGCCATTCGCGGTAATTAAGTCAACTAGGATGCAATCACACCGCTCACCCGAAGGCGAAAATATAAAAAAGGTAAAGTAAAGGGTTAAATTCATCAATTCTAATGAGAATGCACTAGCGAAGTAAAGCACTGCGATTTTACATAATTTCTGAGTAAGCTACTCATACGAATTGAAATAATTCTTGTATTCCAAATTAAGATTTAACTTGAAATTAATGTAGATAATTACTGAGAGAATTAGATTTTGTAGCGTAGTTTACGTGAGACGAGATTCACTTGGGGTCACGTGATATGCACCGGCGAATCAGAATGTTGAACCATGAAAGCATAGTAAATTCGTAAATTAATGTCTTTTTACAAATTTATTGTCTTTATTTATTAGCTTTTTATAAAATTTTAAACGATATTACAGTGTTTATGCCTTCAAAATAAAAAATTCTTAGAACTAACATTTCTTAAAAATTTTTATGTGTATACTGTATCGTGTCGCCAATAAAGTCTGCTTGGCGAGATTTGCGCTGGCGTAACTGAAAAGTACCAGTTATTGTTATTGTAATGACGTTAAACTATTTTGTGTTTTTGTAAACTTAGTTTTGTATTTTTTTAATGCTCCACTCTCATGCATCTTTGATGCATGAGGACTAAAGATGTATAATCAAGTGCTTTTGTAATATTTTTTTTTTTTTTTTTTTTTTTTTTTTAAGTTTTACATGTTAACACTTCACCAGTCTTAAGATTTTTTGAGATCCCACCTGCGTCCTTTTTATTTCATTAAATGTAAGGAAGGTTTGATAAAAACAATCCATAATAAAATGAAGTTCTATTAGAAAATTCGTTTTATCCATTTTAAATTCTCAAAATCATTATTTCTTCAAAATCAGATGTTAATAAATATTTCATTTTCAATACTCACCAAACTTAAATTATTTAAACGAGATTGAGTCATACGATTTCTCAATTCACTTTTGACCAGTTTGAATTTTGAAAATGAACGCTCACCACTCGCGTTAGTAATCATCATCGACAAGAAAATTTTCATTACTATTTTCAATATTTGGGAACTGAACTAATCTTTCATTATACACGCATCTATAGGAATGTGTTGGTATCAATCCCATCTCCTCATCCAGCAACTGTTCTTCATCGTCATCCACATTTGTAAAATTATATTTCTTATGAATCTTCCTTTTCAGTTTTTCGCCATTAGTGATTAGACGTGACTTGAAATGTTGACATTTCCAAATTCAGTTGCTCCCCATGAACACCTTTATCATAAAATTTCGATATTTTCTCGCATGCTATTTAATTTCGCTCTCATCCAAATTACAAATATTTTCAAAATCCCCCAAGCAGTTCAAATACCTCCTCGTATTTTTTAGACAGTCGTAGACAGTCGATTATTTGTAAAAAGGTTGCTTTCTGGCTCTGGTTTTCTTCAAAATTTACGTCTGTGTCTTTGTCTCCTTCAAGGAAAGTTACCCTAGCACTGCGTTGCCTTACACGCTAATGAACATTTTGATACTCTTTTATTTAATAAAGGATATTCCCTTGGCTTTCCACTCATAAAAAAAATCAAAACAGTCTCTTTTGATTTTTACATACATCATTAAAGTTTTAACAACTTCAGTGCTTTCGACAAATCCATATTTTTACTGTGAACGAATAAATTCACTTCGTCAATACGAGTTAAATGTCATTCCAAAAAATAATTTTAAAAAAAGTAATTTCCAATTCATTCATCTTATTCATTTCTTGCAGAAAGTCGAGTAGCCGCTGCCTGTGATTCGTCATTAATTAAAAATCAAGGCTCATGACAATATCTGTATATCCTTCGCGTAAAGGTTTAATTGCTTCTGCGCGTGCAGACCAACGTGTTTTTTAATAAACTTTTCAATATATTTTTATTTTTATCAGAATTCAAATTTTTAAAGTCACTACATCCCAACGATGGGTTGATGACGAGAACAATTGTAGAGATTTTGGACAAAATCGAAGTAAATTGTTATATTAGAGTTATATTACATTAGTTATATTACATTCTACTGCTTGAAAACCAATTAAGTTCAAAGAATAACATGCTACATTTACAGAGTATGTTTTTTGTTTCTTGAAGTTGCTTTCTGGCTCTTGAACTTGCTCTCTGGAAGTTACAATCATGAATATTTTCCAGACATATTCGACGCATTGTCGTATGACTGACCTCGACAATCACTGAGTGAAATGTTGTTATTTTCCAAAAATGAAAACAACATCTGTCAGATACTCTGAAGTATATGTCCATAAATATGCATAAACTGCAAAAATCTCTCAATTGGTACACCATTTTGGACATATCATATAATAAATATTAATTGGCCGGCATGAGTAACATCCGGAGTAGAATCAACAGAGACAGAGCAATACTTAGCTTTCTGTATTTCAGTGACGATAATTGCCAGAGCTTTTAATGCCATGACTTTTATGAGTTCCTCACAAATTATAGCAGATTGATAAAAGGGATTACCTTTTCCAGAAATGCCGTAAATTTTAGTCCAAAAGGGCTTTGTCCCTGAAGGACTATTGTTTTCGTTTTGCGATTTTGCGTTGAATTACTATAAATGTCCGTTTCACTTTTCAAACTGTTGCCACCCAATGTTAGAGTACTGCATTATATTTGAAGAAATTAAATAATGAAAAATATGCATAAATGTATGTATATTTCTCGCATTGTGATAAAACAACGGTACATAGACCCATCGAATTTTGAATGACGTCATCCTCCTACGAATATGGGCATGTGGAAGACCAAATTTGAAATTTGGAATTTGTTTTATGATCGATTTCATATTTTGTAAAACTTCAACGAATTTTTTATTAACAAACTCAGGGATTTCAAAGCGAGAATGCCAACACTACAGGGGAGAAAAAAACTTTATCTCCAGTGCGCGGAGCTGTGTATCGGAAATTCTAAAGATAGGCTCATTTTAAAATTATTTTGCGACATTCCTATTGAACTGAATTTTATGGTTTAAGTGCAAAGAACATGATACTTAATAAAAAAGGTAACACAGAAAACGGATAAAAAACGCCTCTTTGGACGTAATTTAAAATCTAAAACCTTTCAGATATATATATATATATATCTGAAAGGTTTTATATATATATATATATATATTATGTTCGTGCAGAACGAAAACCACCAAAGCTAACAATAATTTCTACTACATAGAGTAGCACAGATGCGATTAGACATATTCTCATTTGAGATATCTGAGAGATAGTCTACGCATGCCTAATACAATACTAATTTCGATCCGAGCCCTCGTTTCTTAGCGAACGGGCTGACTGCGTGAGCGTTTTCCTGGATTCCCTTGTGGGTAAAGTGGATACGAGCCAGTTTCCCTCAAAATATCCTCCAAGCTCAGCGGGGATAGTAACTCTAACTACCATAGTGAAGGGCCCGGGTTCGAATCCAGGAGAATGCATGGATGTTTGTAAATGTATAGTGTCTTTGCGGCATGGGGGGACTTTAAATATGCGGCAAGCCGAAAGCCCTTTCCAGAGGATGGTGGTTGGGGAAGAGGTGTGGGAGACCCTCGGATCCCCCCCTGGTGTGACCTCTCTCAGAGGTGGGGGGCGGAACTAAGCTAAAGTCGAATGTCTCCTATATAGTGCTCAAGCTCTTGCTAACGACATGCGCATTTGACTCCCTTCCACAATGAATGTCGTGGGCTTGTGCTGACCGCTGCCAGAAAAGCGAGATTGGGAGCAACAAAAACAACAGTGCTCTACGGCGCATCCCTCCCCTTCCGTATAATGCTTAAAGACTGTGCACATAATAAATTTGTAAAAAAAAAACCTACCTTCAAAAAAGGAGACTAAGATGTTTTGCATGCAAAAACTAACTACAGACGTTTCTAACGCTAAAAATCTTTTTGAAAAGAAATGCTGAAATATATATAATTTCATACAATGTTTATATATTTACTCATATTTTTGTCCTTTAATTTCTCAACCCAAAGTTCGATAAAACTATCTTAAGTTTAGAAAATAGCAATAATCTTTAACTTTTGTGTAATAACATAACGATCTTTTAGTATCGAGATAATAAACACGACAATTTTTTAAAGCAGCTATTTCCAAGATCAATTTGTTGTTATGTCATTGCATTCGAAGGATACATGTCTAGCATGGATTTCTTAAAATAAACTAATGCATTTTTATGCAATTCATGGGAAGTTTTCCATAAATATTCATGCAGCCCGTCTATTCTACCAAGAAGAGAACTGTGGAAAATATTGCCAACATTTTACTATCATTGGCCTTCGGAAAATACTACCAATGTACTCGCCTGATTACTGACTAGTCTCACAAGGTTGAAGCCTAAAAGCTCAACATTTTAAACGTCTTAGAATCATTTTGTAACTCCGAATAACTCTGTCTCTCACGGAAAGAGTAAAGGGTTGTTTATTAAAGAAGGCTGAGGCTAGGCGTACAGATTTTCTTAATCGGGACTTGTTTAGCCCTTCTTCGCAGGGAACTTCAAACTAGGCCAATTAATACGCTAAGTTTGATATATACCCATTACTATTTTCATCAACCATATTAATACCGCTAATTCGTGTTACGTAGAAGTTAATTAAAGTGCACCTTTGTATAATCAGCTTTAATAGTAATTTTGCTGTAATAAACATTCTTCTGCCTGAGTAAGATAAGATGCGTTAGAAAGAGTGAAATAATTAGTAGTAAATAATATAAGGGTTGATCAGTGAACAAAGACGTAAGCCATGAAATTAATAGTAGTTCTTCCCGAGTTCTGTTCATGGTGGCTGAAGGGGCTTCTGGTTTTTGTTATGTGTGCTCTAAATGCTTACCATTTCTCTTTGAAGCACTATGAGGGGAAATTGAGGAAGCGAAATTTATAGCCGGATCTTCAGCGGTCATATTCAATTAACATGACACCCACTAATTTAGACCTTGGTGGGTGTCGCATCCGTTTTGCTTCAGCCTCTTTTTTAGTTTGATTTAGTAACTAGGCGCACAGATAGCCTGTGCGCCTAGTTTTAGTTTTTAGTTGTACTTGCTTCGGCAGTACATATACTAAAATTGAAACGATACAGAGAAGTTATGATACACGTTTCGATATCAATCAACGCTAGTACACCACCCTTGCAACTAAATGCAACTGCGGCTGCTCACCGATTTCTGCTGTCCGTATTCTGCGGAAGAGCGGGCTCGCAAGATCTCAGAGCAGAACCATCTTAACGCATGGCCCCTCTGGGCTCTTGCACAGGGGGGGGGAAGCCCATGCTAATCCATCTGCATTTAATTTCTGTGAGTGGTTGTCGTATTAGAGGCTCATGCTCTTAAGATGGCACTATTCCAAAGGATTCGCTTATATCGAGGCTATATTATATATTATCTCAGCGGGATAATATAAGAATGCTGAGGCTGCTTGTTTACTATTATCCCCGAGGGATAATAAAAATAAATTCTCTTACATCGCACCTCTCCGAGTGCCCCATTCCCAGGGAACGCATTAAAATTCATTATGCACCGCGGAACGAGACCAAATGACTAAACGCTAAGATTTCTCTCAGATACACCACAAAGAGTATGGAGCTTATGAAACCGATGAACAGACTGGTCGCAGCTATCTTCCAGGACAGCATAAGCTGCCCATTTTGAATAGTAGGAACCGAGCTTAGGTATTTTACGCCTGAGACTGTTAAAGTATAACACTAAGCTAATATATTCGACCTTAGAAAGTATTAGATAAAATCATGTAAATTATTATAACTCAAACCAGTTGTATTAATTTCGCTTAACATACATAATCTTAACTAAGCAAAACTGGCGCATGGAAAAAAAAAAAAAAAAAAAAGAAGAGAGAGAGAGAGAAAATACAGAAGTAAGCTTTCACAAATGCTGCCAATGCGCGGAACGTAATATCTTTAATTTCTAATCTACATGCCATCGCATGTAACCTGTTATCAATGCGTTATTATCTAACAAACCATAAATTATCTAATTTTATATTTCAGATTTAATCATTCCGTTACTGATTAAAAAACTAATCGATTTAAAAGCAGTAAGCACAATTCTTAATAATATTAATTTTCACTTTTTTAAATAATATACACTGCTGGCCATTAAAATTGCAACCCCAGGAAGTAATGATCTGACGACCGTCAAAAAATCACATGAAAGGAAGAAGTTGGGATATGCAAATGATTACTATTTCAGCGCATTTAGACGACACAGGAGGAAGAAATGACATCTGATGCACTGCGTAAAGGAAACTTTCTGTAGTGGATTTCTCATTCGGAAAGTGCTTTGTAAGGTTGGAGTTTGCTCAGAATATCGCGTTATGCATCGGATAAGAAGAGGAAAATAATTACCAGCTAGTTTCAAAATTCGATAGAGGCAGGATAGTTGCCTATCGAAAGTGTAGATTATTGTTCCATGATATCGCCGGTTGCACAGGTCAACATCAAACCACTGTCATGCGAACATGCACTCAATGGATTGCTGAGGGTCACACTGAACGGCATGCAGGATCTCAACTCCCTGCCATGACTAACGCCAGAGAGAACAGACATATTGTGAGGTCAGCCCCGCAAGACCGTACGACCACATGACGAACTATTAGTCAGGAAATGGGCATGTTTGCAGCGCGCCTAGTGTCAGCTCGTAAGGTGCGTCAACGTTTGCAGCAGCGTGGATATAAGGATCGTGACCATTACTTCGGCTTCCCTTGACAATAGAGCATAGAGAGAGACGGAGACTCTAGTGCGCCAAACAACAAAGCTGGGTACAGGAGTGACTTTCAAACGAGTCCCGGTTCTATGTGCAGTATTCTGATAGCTGTATACCTGTCTGGAGTGTCCGCGGAGACCACACGTCGCCTGCTTGCACTCCACATCGGCATAGAGGCCCTGCATCTGGTGTGATGGTTTGGCCAGCCATTGGGTACACGACATGCACGTCTCTGGTTTAAATCGATGGTAGTTTGAACGCAGATGGGTACATTTCTGACATCTTACGTACAGTGGTTGTGCCCTATCTTTGAGGCCTGCCAAACGCCATGTTCCAACAAGATGATGCAAGACCACATGTTGCGCATCGTGTTCTGACTTTCCTTGATACATAGGGTATTCGACTGCTGCCCTAGCCTGCAAGGTCTCTAGATCTTCTACCCATTGAAAACATCTGGTCATGGATTGCTGAAAGACTGGCCCGCCACCCCTTTCCAACTAATACGGTTGATGAAGTGTAGTATAGACTTGAAGCAGAATGGAATGAGTTGCCCATTTCTGTCATCCAAGCCCAGTCTGACTTCATGCCTAATGCGGTAAGGGCCTTTTTAGCTGACAGAGTTGTTCTACTAATTTCACAATCCTGTAAAACTCCAAAATGCTTACAAATTTAATTTAATGCCATACAATTTTTGTGCAATATCTTTTTTTGTATTTGCTTTCCTTCATGTGTTGCAATTTTAATGGCCAGCAGTGTATCTAATTGATAGATTGTTTTATTATTAAACTATTATCTATTTTATTATTAAACTATTATCTATTATTTATTATCTGTTATCTATTATTATCTATGAGGCTATATATATATATTTATATATATATATATATAATAATATTATATATATATCATAGATATATAATAATATATATATAACTATTAACTATTAACTATATTATCTATATTATTAAACTATTATCTTTATTTATTATTATTATTATTAAACTATTTCTATTTTATATTAAACTATTATTTTATTATTAAACTATTATATATTATTATTGTTTTATTATTAAACTATTAACAATTATTTAAAAACACAAATAACTTACAATGCTTCCAACTGATAGTTTTTATGAACATTTTCGGCTTTTTCATAATTAATAAGCTTTTTATAACATTACATTACCTAACTGAAATGATCATTTGCTTATCGAATTTTATAATGTGTACATTTGAAATATTTTTTTTTTAATGCTAAACTCTATTTTAAATTTTGGTTTAACATCTGAAGTCTTTAGATTGCATTTTTTTAAACTTTATTTCCGATCCTGATACAATCATTTTCCGTATTTGCAGGGTGCGGGAACATTTAGCAGCTTACCTGATTTATTATATTCTGCGTTGTCTTTGTCAAGTGGATGCCTCATTCTTTTGCTTCCCGAAACCAAAGACGAGCCATTTGCCGACACTTTGAAGCAAGCAGAAGACATTGGCAGGTAAGACCACAAGGAAATTTTTCGAATTTTTCAATCATGACTGCTAAGAGAAATGAGCATTCTCTAACAGCTTTTATAATTTTCCTACAATGGCAATTCAGAAGATAAAATTCAAAATCATACAATGCTAGAGAATCCTAAGTTCAAGTCAGAGCTCTTCTGATGTCCAGATGTAAATTCAATTGCCTATACAAATTAATGCGTCAATAAAAATAGTTGGTATAAAAATATGCACTCAACTTCCTCGGAGATCATCTGCGTGCTGGATATTAAATTGCAATGCCTAGAAATTTATATTTACTGAAGATGTAACTTCTATTAAAAGGATAAAATAACTGTATTGTGAAAGTACGAAATAATCATTACCTCATAAAAATCACCAAAGCTAACATTAGATATGTAAGAGACAGTCTATGCATGCATAACACAATATTAATTTCCTTTTGAAAGCAGGCAGTGACATTTTGGATGTCCAATATTGCCCAGAGGAATTGATTTTGTAATTTCCCTCACCAAAAGACATCATCCTCTTTCCCTGTCACACACTCATTAATGACTGAGTGGATAAGACAACTGAAAACTAGTAGTTCATTCCAAGTTTGATGCTAGGCAAAAGGTCTCACCAAGTTTTCCCAATATGCAGGGAGAAAATGAGGCAGGATGACTGTTGGAAAGTCCTAACTAAAAGCTTCCCTCTTTATATAGACAGCTTTATTGTGCTAGGCATAATTGAATAATTTACTGCTGAAAGGTATCATTTAATGCCACTGATAAATTAAAGAATATCTGTTTTTACAAACACAAATAGGTTGTTATTTAAATTGAATTAAAGGTTAAAATGTCTATGAAGTATAAAAAAGTAACATTGTCATGCAGTAGCAAAATTCCCTCTGTCAGCATGCCTAGTCTTTTGTTTCGAATTGCTGTGCGTAGTTTTCAGTGTTTGGTCGCATTTATGGTGGTTCTGCATTGCATGAAATCAACCAACAAACAACCATGCCTATCCCAAAACACGAACGCCATGATCTTGCGCTGTGAGAGTCTGTTTGGCCTTGACCCTTACAGGAGAGTGTGTATGTCCACTGCATTGCATGTTCTGTTGCTTCCATTCAGATGTGACATGTCAAACCCATGTTTCATCTCCCGTTACGATCCGACTCAACATGGTGCCCCCTTCTTCATTATAACGAATAAAAAAAATTCAGTGAGCACTCAAATCTCCTGTTTTTGTGGTCCTCCATTAGGAATTTAGGGATCCAACAGGAACAGTTTCTTAAACCGTAACTTTCAGAAACAATCTTGTACAGCACTGACCTAGACACTTCGGGTAATTCATTTGAAACAATGCTTATGGTGAAGTGTCTGTTCTCAAGAGCTGAAGCTACCATATTGTCTGTGAAGCTGAAGCCACCATATCGTCACCTATCTTCAGCTGAAGCCACCATATTGTCTGTGATCACAGATGGGCGACCGGAGCGAGACTCATCATCGACATTGTCTCGGCCAGCTTTTTGAAGTCTCTGACTCATTTACACACTTTGCGTTCACTCATGGCAGTAGCTCCGTAAACTTCACAAATCTGCCGGTGAATGTCTGCAGCAGACAGGTTTCTTGCCGACAAATCATATCACTGGCCGTACCTTGCACGGGGCAGGCAATTCGATAATCTTGAACGTTTTAAAGACAGAGACCGTACAGGTTACGTACACAGCTACTACAGAGCACAGTTGTTTCCAAGGAATGCTTGGACACGACGCAAGCACTAGTTGCGGGCGGCGCGCACGCCACCAGTTTGTGTATAAAACAAAACGGCCCTTACCGAAAAAACATGCTACGTTATATGCAGTTACTATTTTGTATCGCTTCTTGTTATTCCTTTTGTTGATGAATGATCTACGGTTATTATGCATTATTCACCAATAGAAATGCTGGCATTGATATCAAATACAGTCAAAAGTCGTTAATCCGGACTCGTCGGGACTTCGGCGATTCCGGATTATCGATTTTTCCGGATTATAGATCATCAGTTTAAATCTCGTAAGATGGCATGCAGAAATTCTAAAATTAAAAATATGAAACCGTAATTTATGAAATAAAGAACAATTATGATCTAAAGGGTATCAAAATTTGCAAAAAGAAAAAGCTTAATATTTATTAGTTTACTTTATTAAACATTTCTTTCAATGTAAGTTGTTTAAGTTTTGCTTCGTTTCATGTGATAATACTTTCTCTTTAATTCTATTAAACAAACATAATTTCTTGTTCAGTTACAAAGTTCCGCTGTTCAAGTCCTATAATTGCTGTGTCAAGAACACCGACTAATTTGTCAATCGAAATTTTTTCGTTTTCAATAACCTCTGTTACTTTTCTTCGCTATCGGAAGCGAATTATAATGACGAGAAACTTGTTTTAAATCATATCAAAGACGGAGCATATCGAGATGAAATACTACATTTGGTAAGGAATTATAAGCCAAATAAAATAAAAACATCTGCGCTGAAGATAAGGATAGTGCTGACAAATCAACTTCCAATTCATTACGCGCCCGCCGCTGCGTTCCCCCCGCCGAGCAGCGTGAAATTGATAAACAGATTTCGGATTTCAAAACATACTTTCGCTTTAGATCCTTTACATATTAACAAATATATATCGGAAATTCTATTTGATATAATCGAAAGTTTAAGCTTACTTTTATAAATTGCTCTTAACAGTCTGCAAAAAATAATAAGCCGGATCCAATTCGAAAATTAAGGAACAACGCAATCATCAACATTAACTGAAATAGATAATTAGATAATTTTAGCTTATACGTCTATTATACATAAAACGCGCACGCGAAAACGTATTCTGCACTTGCGCACACTCATATGCGCAGTCGTAAAAGGTCTTACGCGCACGCGTAAACGCCTATGCGCATGTGTTAGCGCGGCGCATGCGCAGAAAGTTTTTAGTTTTGAGGTCCGGATTATAGATCATTCCGAATTATGGGTGTCCGAATTAACGACTTTTGACTGTAGTATTTAATAACATTTAAATTATATTGATATATGAAAAGGATGCGTATTATTTTTACAGGAAATCAGAAGAAGAAATCTTGGAAAAAGAGAAAGAGAAAATATAATATGTAGAAATGGAAAGGATGAAAAATGAGGCATTTGAAAACAGAGGATTAGTCAAGAATTTTCCTTGCCTCGAAGTATTCAAGTGCCAATTATGTATTCATTACTTATTGCTTCTCTTAAGTATGCTTAATATAATGAAAATACGATATTGTAAATGAAAATCATCCCATCAGTATGTGAAGAAATTTATATTCATTTCAATGGTACTTTTTAATATACATAGCTTCACTCTTTTTCTTGAATGTTCATTTATTAGAATGTCAAATACATTTTGAGACACATACTATAATATCGTTACACATAATTTAAAACATATTCTGTTGATAATTATGTACATTTACACATACAATATAATACCCTGAATTTCAAATGCACTTTATCAGTAGGAAAAAAAAAAAATAGGAAATGTTATACTGTGACCTAATAATCGATAAAGCACTTGTATTTATCTTAAAATTATTTTTTATTAGAAAAGTTTAAATTTCACAACGATCTATTAAAAGATGAATTTTTATTCCTGTACACTGAAATCTAATCTACCAAATTAATTCAAATTCAGTAACTGTCTAACTCTCTGTACTGCAGAGCTACAAACAATATAGACTGAGGGATGCTTAAAGTGCAAAACCATAATTATGAGACTGTCATGAAAATGAATCATTTTCCTGCAGATAACAATAAATGAACATGCTACCACAATCGAACTGAAATGAATTCAAACATATATGTTTTTACACCAAAATCTGTAGTTTAAAAAGTTCAATCATACTTATGTAAACATAAATTGAATAGAGTGAAGCTCTCTAAGATGACCACCCATGATTCGAAAAATTTTGGTTTTTTGCAGAAGTTGTCCTCTTAGCAAAGATCTGTGATGGCAATTATTTATTTACGTTATGGATTCACTCAATTCAAGCGCCTTGATAGTTAAACAAAATTTCAGAAACAGAACTACAGTACATCACTTTCTCAGTACCATTATATTAATAAAGTTATGAATTATAGCAAATAATTCAGCCAAAAAATTGGCGAAAATTATTTTAACTTTTCGAAAAATTAATGTTATTTTGAACTACAGGAAAAAGATTGAAACCTTGATATTATAATTATCTGCTTAGTAACCAAAAAGAAGGAAAAACATGTTTCTATATTAAACCAATGGAGTCTTACTTATACTGCCTTTTGATTCAAATATGATTTTTTAACATCCAGCTTCCAATTTGAAGCTCTTCTTTATTGTCTCAAGTTTATATTGGTGACATACTGTTCTACAATTGGTGACAATATTTAACTGCTGACTTACAGTTCTACAATTAAATTTACTTAACTGTTCTATAGTAACTTACTGCTTACTACAGTTCCCTTACGTTTATTCACTATAAGGTACTGAGACTGTAAATACTTAACTGTTCAACTAAATTCGTACTGTTACTGTAAATACTTAACTGTTCTACAACTTAAGTTTACTTGAAGTAACTTACTATTAATACACTGCTGGCCATTAAAATTGCAACACCACGAAAGAAAGCAAATACAAAAAAGATATTTATTGCACATAAATAGTATGGCATGAAAACAAAATGATTAAGTTTGCACGCATTTTGGAGGTTTACAAGAGTGTGAGATTGGTAAACACAGCTGCCACCCCTGGTAGCTAAAACGGCCCTTACCCCATTAGGCATAGAGTCAAACTGGACTTGGATGACAGAAATAGGCAACTCATTCCATACTGCTTTAAGTCTATGCCATATTTTATCAACCATATTAGCCGGAAAGGAGAGGGGGTCTAGTCTCTCAGCAACCCATGCCCACATGTTTTCAATGAGTGACAGATCTGGAGACTGTGCAGGCCAGGGCAGCAATCGAATACCCGTGTATAGAAGAAGATCAGAACATGATACGCAACATGTATTCTTGCATTATCTTGTTGGAACATGGCATTTGGGGGTCTCAAAGATAGGGCACAACCACTGAATGTAAGATGTCAGAAATATACCCATCTGCGTTCAAATTACCGTTAATCCGAACTAGAGATGTGTGTATCGTGTACCCAATGGCTGCTCAAACAATCACAACAGGGCCCTTATGCCAATATCGAATGCAAGCAGGCAATTTGCGGTTTCCTCGGAGCCTCCAGACACGTATATAGCCTTCAGAATATTTCATGTAGAATAGTGAATTTTGAAAAGGCGACATTGTGCCACTCCTGTACCCAGCTTTGTCATTTGGTGCACTAGATTCAACATCTCTCTGTATGGTGCATTGTTAACCCCTTCGAGCCGGGTAGCGAAAACGCGCGCTTATCACTGAGGCCGGCGAGCGTCCTCCAGGGCCGGGGGCTTTTTTGCTACTAAGCCTAAATCCATGAAATTTCCGAAGTATCAACGCATTGTTTAATAATGCTCTATAGAGTATTTAAACGGCTTATGCTTTATAATTATTTTT